CAGAAATTGACACTTTTTATAAATTAAAACTTATTACACCCCTGGCTGTCAATCAGACAGAAGGTTACTTCCTGGTTGTTTAGCTCAGTGGAGCTAAACTCAAGAGGCAGCAATTGTCCAGAGCACCTGCCTTGCCAAGATTTCTCATTGAGCTGCATTGGGAAGTCTGTGATTGGACAGCCACAGAAAGTCATGGTGGGATTAGGAAGGGACGGCTTGCAAGGCTGTGCACAAAAAATCTGCAGCTTTTGCAAGCGGTTATTTAAAAAAAATATATTTCCATTAAAGAGTTCTTTTAAAATTAAAGATTTAAAGACTACGGTTTAGGGGTAGCATAATGCACATCACAGGTATATATATTATTATATTTCATAATGCTAAGATGACACTGATAGGGGTATTTACTAAAGTGTCTAAATTGTCAGAAATTCAAATTTAAAGCTAAAATAGTCAAAATGGGGCAAAAAAAAAATCTAATTCAGCTATGCTTCCAGCAACGTTGGTCTTAAATTGAAATTAACTTTAAATTACCACAAAAAAAAAATCACTTTGGTGAAAAACCCTGTAGGGAATCACGAGGACAGCACCCAGTAACCCAACTGCAAATTCAGAACTTTCTCTAATACGATGTGAAAAACACCAACACGTTCTGCATTCCATTACAGTAAGGTGGCAAGGAAATCATAAACTGAAGCAGACATACACACACACACACACACCTTGAGCTTTATATAGGAGCCAGCACAGTAAATTCTGATCTTTCAGCCTAGAGGAGATTTTAGTTATAATTCTTTCTACGTGCCCTGTAAAAAGTGTTTGGGGTGGTTCCCTAGTTTTGACTTACCTTGTATTTATTAACTTTCACAGTATACAAAACTCTCTCACCCATGCCTGCGTATAACACTGTACTCTGCACTATGACCTACACTGCTTCATTATCTGATCCCCCAGAGAGGCACGGAGTTGGCGTAGGGTGTATGCTTTCTGTCAAATCTAAAGGGTGTGGATCTAAAGTGAAAGGTGAAGCACTGATCCTTGTAAGGGCATTATCAGACTTAAGCTAAAAGATTCCCAAATATGATCTCGCTGCCAGGGCATAGAAAAAGAATTATACCTCAATTCTCAATTTCCTCCAGATGAATAAGAGTAAGGGAACCTCAAACATCAAAATTGGTGCTGGCTTCTATATTAACCCTAATGGTAGCGCTGAGGATTCATTACATAACAAGTTATTTATATATATATATATATGTATGTATGTACATATAAGTCAAAAATGAACGTTTCATACGGTCACATTTATGATTTCCTTGTTACCTATTGTAAAGGAATGTAGAACCTGTTGGTTCTTGAGCAAAGTCATTTTTACAGCGTAACCCTTTTTTTACCTTGGTTTGCTAGACTTGTACAGCCCCGGCAAGTATATCCACCCCTTTTTTTGGCATAAAACATGTTTAAAAAAAGAGATTAATTAATCCAGCTCTGACTTCCTCTCGTGGTCCTATCAAATGCTTCTCACAGAGCGAAGGAGTGGTGGACAGGGAAGGAGATAAAAAAAAAAAAGAAAGAAAGAACAGACAATGGAGGGAGATGGGAGGGGAGAACTAGGATTCGCTTGCAGTCCGCAATCCCAGCGTTGCCAGTACGGGAGTAGGTGACCGCGTCTGTCGCCATAGCGCTGACGTCCGACTTGTTTTTTAGCACAGAATTGACATTAGGCAGTCTGGAAGTCACGTGTTCTAGGGAGTAACTATCCCTAGCACAAAACAGCAAGTTTCTCTGGATATGCAGAATTTCAAGCAAAAATGCTGCATTTACAGATTCCTACTATTAAAAGCAGAAGTGATCATGGTGGTTGGAGGGGAAAACCTATGACATAATCTATTTTCTTAGAGTATTAGAGATGCTTTCTCAATTTGTTCACTGGATTACTGTGATACTGTGTAACATATCTTCCAAATCCTTACTGTACCCTCGTCATACTCAGTGCTGGTCACTGCTTCCTAACCTGTCTTTTAAAGGAACACTATAGTGTCAGGAATATAAACCTGTAGGTCTAAATAGCCGTTTAGGTACCTTCCCCCCTCCCCCATTCACTCTTTAAAATGTGATTTTACTCACCTTTTTCCTCCACTGCATGGGTATCTTCTCGGCTGGCTCCACCCCCTTGGTTGAGATCATAAACCTTGATGATCTCAGCCAATCTGATGCTTTCCCATAGTGCTGCACACTGTGTAGCACTGACCCAGGAAGCCCCTGCAATGGCCGCTGAGTGACTGCCACTAGATGTGTGCGTAGGCAGCAATGTAAATCTGCCTTTTCTCTGAAGAGGCAGTGTTTACATTGAAAGCCTGCACGGACATGCTATAGACACCAGAACCACAACATTAAGCTGTAGTTGTTCTGGTGACTATATTGTCACTTTAACCCCTTAAGTGCTGGGGAAGCACTTAACACCTGATGACGGACCCCAGACTGTCATGCGCTAAAATGAACCCCAGATCGATGCAATCGCGGGGTTAACGCTCCTCCGGTCTGCCTCGTATTCAAGGCAGACGGGGAGCACCCGGTAGCGCTGTTCTTGCAACTGTGATCGCTCTGACAGGCTGTCAGAGCAAGCACATGTGCGGCAGGGACTTCTGGTCCGCCTCTCTGTGCTTCCAGGTCAGTGTGAAGTGCAGGGAGACGGATCAGTGCTGCTGATCTTCTCCCTGTGTAAAAAAATAAAGTAAAAGTTAAATCCCATCCCCCCTTTCCCCTGCTTTAATAAAATTTACCCCTTCCCTGCCAATTGATCACTGACTACAGTGATCAATTAGCAGGGACTACATTTTACTGTGATCTCATTTTTTTTTTAACCCCCTGAGGGTTAAGTTTTATTTAATTTTTAACCCTCCGGGGTTACATTTATTTTATTAATTAATTTAAATATTTAAAAATTATACATTTAGCTAGCGGGGGTGGGTGGAAGTTATGGGAAATTGGGGGATTTACTGTTAGTGCTGCTTACTGCTAGTTAGGGGTTAGCGGTAAAAAACAAAAAAAAGTTTATACAAATTTTAAAAGTATAAAAAAAGTTTCAAGAAAGTTTTAACCCCTTAAGGACACATGACATGTGTGACATGTCATGATTCCCTTTTATTCCAGACGTTTGGTCCTTAAGGGGTTAAAAAGTAAAACATTTTTTATATGTACAGCGCTACGGAATCTGATGCCGCTTTATAAATAATAAAATAATAATAATAATATAAGTAAACAAAAAAGCTTTAAAACAAGTTATAAAAAACAAATTTAAAGAAAAAAAATTTAATTACCACTACACCTGTAACAAACTAGCAAAAAAATGATCCCGCGCTAAGGTTCAAAATATGCCTTTTGAATTACCCCGGGTGTATTCTTTAATAAATAGTATGTGTTTGTGGGAAAGTTTGAATAACCAACCAGCTAAACTACTCTGAAATGAAACATGGACACAGCGTAAAACTTCAAAGTTAGAAAAAAACTGAATGGCTGCATCTCAAATGCGCCCCTTCAACATCCACATATACCTGGCAAAGGTACATACGGGGGTATTGCTGTACTCAGCCGACATAGCTGAGCAACATATTAAGTATTATACAGTTGTAGCACACATAAGGTTTGCAAAATATACTTCGCAAACTCACTTTGTGTGTCAAAAAGGCAGAAAAACGCTTATTACCACTACAACTGGTACAAGCTAGCGGAAAAATGATCCCACGCTAAGGTTAAAAATATACCTTTTGAAATACCCTGGGGTGGCTACTTGAAGAAATGGTATGGCTTTATGGTGTAGCTGGGATGTATAGCCTGCTCAAGTGCTCCAAAGTGGGACACGGACACATCAAAACCGTCCATGAAAATTCACATTTAAAAACCTGAACTTGTCACGTCTCTTTTACAGCACTGTAACCTCACAAAATAGTGTCTAGGTCATACATTGGGCATATTGTATTACTCAGAAGAGGTAACTGAGCATAATTTGTGGGATTTTATGACAGTGGTACATATCAAGTGTAAGAACATACTCAAAAAACCCCAAAACATATGTAAAAGTACAATTTTTTCCCCCTTACCACAAACATTGACATAAATTGGTGATAAAATGGTGACAAGTTAAGGCACAATATACACCATATAAGATACCCCAGGGTGTCTCCTTTATCAAATGGTAGCCTTTTGTGGGGTTATTTGAATACTCACACTGATATAAATACCCCAAAATGAGACATAGGCCCGTCAAATCCATCTATGAAAATTCTAACTATAGAAATTGAAATAGCCTTGTCTCTTATATGGCACTGTAGCTTCACAGAATAATGCCAAAGGCATACAATGGGGGTATCGTTATACTCAGCAGATGTAGTTAAATACAATATGGGGTTCTGTGCAGGAATAGCACACACCAGCTTTACAAAATACACATTACAAAAACCTTGTTATATGTGTACATGCCAAAATAGATAAAACACAATTTTACTCCAATATTAAGCAGAGATTGGCGATGAAATGGCTTTGTAAAAAGTGCCAAACTAACCATAGGTAAATAGCCTGTGATATCTACTTTATATAAATATATACTTTTCTGTAGCAATTTTGTTTTCTGTGATGGTAACTAAACCTACAAGACAAAAATACCAACTTCTAAAATTGCTACACATTGAAATTTTATTTTAGTCCTTTTATTTTGTGACCTGTAGCTTTCAAAATAAGCTGAAATCCTATACATATTATGTACTCTATAAATCAAAACACATAAATGAATTTATTTTGAATTACTTTTTCTAAGCTGGACATATTATGCACACGCTATTATTGTCAAAACTGTGAAAAAAAATTTTTTTTCCCATTTTTTGGCATTTGTTTTATGATTAATGAGAATGTATCTATGTATATGTCACATCAAATTAAAGCCCTTTTTGCCCTCTAAAAAACGGTATATAATATGTGTTGGTGCAATAAATGACAGAGATGCAAATTGTGTTTGAACACAAACAGCAAAAAATGCAAAAATGGCTTGTGTCCTTAAAGTCCAGTTTTTGCAGCTGGGTCCTTAACGGGTTAATGTTTCTGCTCTCTGCAGTATATTGTGTTTCGCAGGGAACCTACCTGCTCCCATATCTCACAGTACTAATTTCTTATTATACCTGATTGTAACAATAAATTATTTGATGCTAGGTGGTCCCCTCACCTGCCTCCAAAACTCATTGTGTTCATTTCCTTTAGTACATTCTCACTCCAAACCAAAGATTCACTATGCTTATTTTGTACAGTACCCGCTCAATGAGTGTGGGATAGTGTAAATACTGGATGCCTCAACATTCCAATTCCAACTTTCACTGTATGGATTCCTTGCTGTATTTTATAGGGTATAGTGTGATTAGGGAATATCCCAAGCCCTCTCCTGATTGATCTTTATTAATCAAAAAGCCTCCTGCGCGATTAAGATCCTTATATTCTATGTCATTCAAAATCTACCACAATGCAGCAAGAGGAGTACTTGCTAGTTTTAGCTAGTAATCAATGATAACCAGATATCCCAGAACTATATTTCGATTATTATATATGGGCCACCTATACAAGCATTTGATAAAATGATAAATAATTTAAGGGACACTGTAGGCACCCAGACCACTTCGGCTCCTTGAAGTGGTCTGGGTGCAATGTCCCATGTCCCTTAACCCTGCAGATGTAATTATTGATGTTTCTGAGAAACTGCAATAATTATCTCGCAGGGTTAACTCCACCTCTTGTGGCTGTGTACCAGACATCCGCTAGAGAGCTTCCTGGTTTGAAACTGACCTTTGGTTCAGTATCTGACACTGGACGTCCTCACAATCTCCAGCATCAGATTTGTCCCCGTAGGAAAACACTGATTAATGCTTTCCTATAGGGAAATCCTAAAGCGAGCCATTAGGTCTCCCCTGTCAGCAGGGGAAGAACGTGGGTGGAGTCTGACCCAGCGCCGAAGCACATCGGCGATGGATTCAGGTAAGTGACTCAAGGAGTTTTAACCGCGGGAGGAGGGGGTGCGAGGGAGGGGGGCACTATAAGAATCCCTTTAAAGGCTGTCGGATTTTCAATTAAACAAATGCACATAGAGTAATATATCCACAGTATTTATAATTACACAAAACAGGCATCTGACCACACAACTCTATACACACATACAGTTTAATAGACATATATACACGATCATTAGAGCTTATATGTATGTACACTTGTGGTAAAACAGACATTTATATACACCTACGGGATTATTGACTTATCTGGAATTCAAAGTCAAATTTCAGCCTTAAAATAGCGAAGATTAAACTCTAGTTGACCAGGAGAACGTTACCAAATAAGCTATAGAGGCCTAAAACATTTATTCACTTTCATTTAAATTTAATTCCTTGCAATTCAGACTTAAGTGAATAACCCTGATACAGTTAAACAGACATGTTTTGAAGAACAGAGCAAACTAAACATATATTCAAACCGTAAAATAGACACCTAAACACATACAGTAGAATAGTATAGACATGCATACAGTAAAAAACATACATATATTCAGTCCAGCAATAGGCCACACTGTGTCACACAAACTATATGGACGAGATTACCGGTTCTGTCCTGCCATCTGCTGGCTGATTAGAGGCACTTCAGGTGTACACACTAACCGTTGTCTTATCTACACAATTAACAGACACTTGAATAAACTCTTACACCACATGCAGTGTTACAGTGTGTCACTATACATTACTGCTCAGACACTTTGACACACTTAAGTTAGTTCAGGTTCAATTTTATTTCCAAAATAATTTTCCTGACACTAAAACCAGCTGTGATTAGAATTCTCATCGCGTGTTAGGGTCTTGTACATACAGGGGGTCCTCCACACTCTGCTCCTCATTGAGGGGCCTGAGGTTGGCTATCAGAGACTATTATTGCACAATGCCATGTGTGCTGCTTCATACACACTCTCCCCAGCACACACATTCATACACAAACATACACACATTTCACTCACACTAGCAGTCTATAAGGGCAAATAAAAATATACACTGGGGTCTCTGGATCATTCCCCCACAAGTCCAGCTGGGGGTTCTGAGTATACAGTGCAAGACGATCTCGCAAGCAGAACATTTCCATTGGGTCCCAATATCAGGAAGACACTAACTCGGTCACTCCGAGTACAAGGCAGCAGCAAGGCCATCATCTTGAATATGTGGATCTCTTCATTCCCTCCTGGGGTCTTTGCCATCCACATTCGATATATATCCACTATACCTGGGGATTGCTTCTGGAATATGGGGGCAGCGGGGCAGGCCTATAGAGGTGAGACGTCATGGGTCAATATCTTATCATTGTGGCCCTTTTTTCCCACCAGGATAGTTAAATACGCTGTTCTAGTTTCTTACCGTGAGGGCAGAGCAATAATGGGATTCGGGTATGCTGGCACAGTTATGTGACGATCTAGAGACTGTGGCTTCTTTGGGAGTGGAGGTTTCCTTCGACCTGGTGTCTGTATGGAGGAGATTAGAGGAAGACAATAGATAGTCTGCCATGAAACCTGGAGCAGTGGGTCCACCCTGGGTCAGTTTTTGTTAAAATCAATTTTCCCAGGGTCCAGTCACCTATCCAGTTCTAGAGTTTAATTGGTCAGTTCTGTTACCTGTGTATTTACACGTTTCTACCACCAGCGATTTTCCAGAACTAGGTCACCAAGCTCTACCAGAAATCAGTTACCCTGCTTCACCACCTGTCCAACCCTAGAGCTCTGTCACCCCATTCCTTGTCGCATGCACATTCAACAAGTGCATTCCCAGAGGTCTCCATCAGATCCATCAACTTTGCATTCCCAAAGCATTGTCAAAGCACTGTCATACAGCTCAGTCATCTGTGCGGTCCTAAAGCTCCGTCAGCATTCTCTGTAATACAAGTCGGAGACATGACCACCTCTACGAAGGGATACCTTATGAAGATCTCTCACAAGTCAATAAAACTTGAATATTGAAGGAAAAAACTCTCCACCATGATAATCACCATTAATTCTTCCCATTTCCAGGCCACACCAGAGGCAGATTAATCAGATTTGTTCAGATTGTGCATGAACTGCTCCCACAACCAACCATGCATATAACGCCAAGCACTTTGTAATTAGCCACCACTGGAGCGTGCCCACCACCTGAGGCCTCGTTACCTGCGCCTGTCGTGGGAGGGGGTCCGCAGGAAGCGGCCGAGTTGGGGGAGGAGGCCTGTCCTGATCAGGTGCCTGAATAGAGAGAGCTATGAGAGCCAGCCGGATACAGAGGGACGTGCAGGGTGATGGGCTGAGGGTTAGTAATAGTAGCTCACAACACATAGAAGAACTGGGCACAACACTGTAAAACACAGCACAACAATACAAAGTGCTTTACAGTTGAGTCATACAGCAATGCACACAGGCTGCAACACAAACAGGTACCATACTGCACTGCCCACCAACATCTTGCAAGATTGCACATGTGTATTATGCCACACTACATACAGACAACAAACTACATAGCATATTGGCATTATACTAATGGTAGGAAAAGTACAAACATTTTGGAACCTAACCTTATAATCAGAAAGATCACTGCAGTTCCAAAACTTTCAAGGATATTCATTATAGTGAGAATTCAAAGTGAATTTCAGATTTAAAGGGACACTACAGTCATCAGAACAACTACAGCTTATTGCATTTGTTCTGGTGAGTAGAATCATTCCATTCAGGCTTTTTGCAGTAAACAAGGTCTTTTCAGAGAAAATGCAGAGTTTGCATTACAGCCACTCCTAAGATGGCTGCTAGAGGTGCTTTCTGGGCCAGTGCTGCACAGTGTGATTGCAATTCAGTGTCTCCACCCCCTCTGCATGCAGACACTGAACTTTCCTCATAGAGATGCATTGAATCAATGCATCTCTATGAGGAGATGCGGATTGGCCAGGGCTGTGTTTGACTTGTGCTGGCTCTGACCCTGGTCTGCCTCCTTCACAATCTCAGCCAATCCTATGGGGAAGCATTGTGATTGGCTCAGACCACAACTCCTGTTGATGTCAGCAGACAGTAAGCAGGTCAGATGCAGACAGGGACAGAAGCAGCAACTGCAGACTTGAATACAAGTACGATTTTAATATATTTAGGGCTAGATGGTGGTTTTAACACTATAGGGTCAGGAATACAGGTTTGTGTTCCTGACCCTATAGTGTTCATTTAAGGTTAAAGTAATTCAACTTGAAACATAGCTGAATGTTTCCAATTTGGCTCAGTTTACCTTTAATTTGAATTCTTTGAATTCTTACTTTAGCGAATGACCCTGATAATAGAAACAAGTGTTTATTTATCCACGTATAAGGCCAAGCCAATTAAAAACACTGGATCAAAATCAAGTGTGCAACAAAATAGTAATGTACAAATATAGAAGAAAGTGCGTATTTTTTAAAGATATAAATGTTTACAAAGGACTGGAGGAAACTATCGGCATCAGGGTAGTCAATAATTGTTTTATAGGCGGTATTGCTTTTTCAGGACATTCACATCTTGAAAAATATATAACTACATACACAAAATGCTTTGCCTGATTTGATGCCAGTATTTTCGTCTTGTCCTCTGTAAGCAGATCAAGTTTCTACAATTTTTTTTTGCACATATCTGTTTTTGCTCTAGTGCTTTTTTAAATCTGCCTGCATGTAGACGATACATGCTTGTTTTTGCTAAGTGCTGGAATTGTAGCAATCTCTGACCATAAGTAGTCTAGTCAAAAAGCTTAATACAGTTTCTGTGCTTCTGATTTTTATTGAGGGACAGACTTTCTCTGAAGCCTAAAAGAATGACGTATGATGATCCAATAATACAGTTGCAAGAAAAAGTATGTGAACCCTTTGGAATGATATGGATTTCTGCACAAATTGGTCATAAAATGCGATCTGATTATCATCTGTCACAACAATAGACAATCACAGTCTACTTAAACTAATAACACACAAAGAATGAAATGTTGCCATGTTTTTATTGAACACACCATGTAAACATTCACAGTTTCCATATCATTCCAAAGGGTTCACATACTTTTTCTTGCAACTGTATATAGTTTTAAGGCTGTCACCATTAGGTATTATTAGTTTGTGGTTTGTTTTGATACTGAATCTGTGTGTACTAGCGCAGACATATCACTATACTAAACTGCACCCAAGCAGAC